ACTTCTTTCCTGTATTACCTTTGACCTCTTTCTGTCCAACTATCATGTTCACCCCCCTTTGGCTCTCAGTAAGTCCTCTGGGATACATTGCACTTGATCAACCCCACCAGGCATTATATGCCCTCCTCACCATCGACTTTAGATATCTTGTTGCTCCCTTATCCCGGAATTTGTTGGATCCCTGATCCCCCTCTCCACCCCCCGTCTCCCGTATCCTCCACCAGGACCACCGGTCCCATTGTTTTCTCCTCAGGATTGTTTGTCCTGCCGATTTTATAGAGATCAACATAGGGTGAAATAAAAAAATAAACAATAACCTTACAGATAGCTCCAGGTGCGTCTGTTGACCCTTAAGAGGGTTTTCTAATTGAGTCTGATGAGGTCTGTCACCCGAGTCCGAAGTCTATTTTCAGGGTTCCTCCGGGAGTTGGTTACTTTGCTCCCCCTGCTGTCCTGTTACACTCCATTCACGTTTCCCCCGCTGCTCATCAGACGGTTCTCTAATAGTCACTGGCTCCACTATCGTGTGTGTGCATGCCCTTGTGTGTACGTATAGATGTGTGGACCCACCCCCATGAGCACGTGTGAGTTTCCATTAAGAAACAAGGCAACCACACTAGTGCCAGCTAAACCTGAAGCCGATGGCAGAGGGTCTAAGGAAACTGTTACCTTTCCGATAAAACGAATTTCCCATCTCTGAGGCTTGGCAGCTTTCTCAGGGGGTTGATCTCGATATACTCCTTGCTGTGGTGGTGACCTGGGGGCACAGGAGAAGGCTGAGGCTGAAGGGACCCCAGGGCAGAGAACTGGCCCCCCAGAGGCAGGAAATCGTCGGCTCTGTTTTCCCAGAAGGGGGAAAAGTTTGCTGGAAGGAAGGCCCTGGCTCGCCCAGGTCAGCGAGCTGAGCCGGGATTGGGATGCTTGCCTCTGCCCTGCTGCAACCCAGGATCGTGGAATCCAGGACCAGGACAACCCATTGGCTCACAGCCTCCAGGCCCCCGAGTGCCATCCCCAGCTCAGGGCAGGGGTCTCAGACTGTGCCCTAACCACAGCCTGGGAGCCCAGGAACTACCCCACCCCAGACCCCTCTCACCCATCCTACCCCTGTGAGCCAACACGCATCTGTAGAGCCCAGAGAGGAAACTGGGGGACACAACTAGGACCCCAAGTAAGGAGACAAGAGTTTTCAACCTTCCTACACCAACTGCCTTCACTTAGAACACAGCGGGGGCTCCATCCATGACCCCACCTCCTGTGTCGCCCTCCATGCTGAGAGAAGGCAGAGGCTCCCGGACTTCCCTGGGGTCCTGTCCCTGTGCCACCTGAGGTTCTGAACATGAGGGAGACAGGTGTCGATAGAGGTGGGATCTGAACGCCCATATGTGAAAATGACACGCAGCTTCTACCTTTGCCAAAGAGATTGGCAGGTGCTTAGGGCAACCAGGTGCCCAAGCCCCCAGAGAAGGTGCAGGTGCCAGGCGATGCCCTTCATCACATCGTGGGGGCTCCTGGTATCCCGAGAGGCAGTGGGAGCTGGGTTGGCCAAGGACACCTCCTCCTTGGTGGACCTTAGGTGTGTCCCTGATCTGTGTCCCTCTGCACTCGTCAGAATTGCCCCTTCCCCCCCTACACACATATACATAGATGTATACACAGCCCAGGATCAGGCCTTCCCAGGGAGCGGTCAATGCCAACCTTTCAGGAGATCCACAAACTGGAATTCGAAGGGGATGCCGTTCTTCCGGGCAAAGATGTAGACGGCCCGGCAGGGCGCTGAGAGCAGGTCCATGTATAGTTCCAGAACCATGCTGGGGCCCCCGGGCCTGTGTCCAACCTGCTGATCCCCTAGCTTGCCCTCCCCCCTCCCAGTGCCCCTGGAGCACTGCATTCTGGAATGTCCTTCCTGTTCACTTGGTGAGGAAGCCTGGAATTCTCATGGTGGCAAGGATTCTGGAAGAGGCCCACTCCGGCCCTCCACCTTGCCCTTCACCCTGCGGGCAAACGGGTGCACACACTCACACGCACACACAATGGCCTGGATCTGGCCTCACCAAGAGCTCCTCTGAGAAGTGCTTAGAGTCCCCAAGGTCAGTCCTTCTTGTGAAAGAGCAAGGGGCTTGGCGGGGTTTCTAATGAGCAGGTGGTGAGATCAACCTAAGGGGTATAATGTTAGACTCGGGTAACCAGGGGATGTTGAACAGAGTTAAGACTAGGGGCTCTTGTGGAACAGTATGTTACAAGTTGGGGTGCTTATCACATGGTCAACATTCAAAATGGCCGGCTGCTCCCCCATAACGAATTTTAGCCTTGGACACACCCACAAGCTCCATCCACTGCCCTATAAAGTTGTGATGAATTGGAATCACCTATGGCAGTTGGTTTGGTTTTGAGTTTGGGCCCTCGGGGAGTCCTGGGGACATTCAGTTGAGCTGGGTGTTGTGTTAATTAAGTTTTGTGTCAATTTTGCTCGACCAGGATTCTCAGTGGTTTGACAGTTCAGGGCTAGCACACCTGCCCCATGTGACCTAGCACAGTGCAATCACCTCCATCGTGGGAGCTCTGTGAATAGCCAATCAACTGCAAGAAGGTGAGGAAGGCGTGTAACCAGTTCTTTGAACTCAAGCCAGAGGTCTGCCATGTTGCCTGCCACGCCCAAGAGCTATTTCACTGACTGACTTTGGAATCATTTGCTTTCTGCCTTTGATATCAGCCTGCAGTCTTCCTGCCAGTCTTAGGCTGATGAGCCCTGAACGCTGCAAGATTCAGGAGAAGCCTCCAGTTTAGCATCTGACCCTGGACTTGGAACCTGCCTGGACTGGACATGGACATGCCATCTTCTACAGTTGTGTGAGCCATTTCTGTGATAAATAAATAAGAGATGAAGTCAATTAATGTGGATTTTCCAACAATACTCCTTTATGTGATGTCTGACGAATTCTAGACTCTGTGCTCTGTGGCTCTGAGCCCATTTTGGAGGGAGCCGTCTGCTGTGCTAATGGGCAGGATTAAGGTGGGACCTCCACCTTAGTAGAGAGTGGGAACCAAGGGACCACCCCTGTTTCCCTGGGGGTATGATCTGCTGATGACCAAAATCACATGTCCATGAAAGCCCCTCCTCTGTTTAAGAGCCACATCAGAAGCAGGATAGAGAGAAATCCCAGAATCCTAAAGGAAGAAGATTCACCTACTCACTTTCCCAACAAGATCACTGAAGACTAAATGGGTGCATGTGCAAATGTGGTGTAGAAAGCTAATGGTGCTGAGCTATTAGACAATTTAATGTCAGGGGTCTTAAAGGTCTGACGATAAACAAGAAGCCATCTAGTGGGGAAGAAACAAAGCCCACGGGGAAGAAGCTCACCAACCCATATGATCATGAGCTGTCGATGGGATGGGCTAACAAGCATCAGAGGGCTCAAACAAACAATCATTTCAATGTGAAGGAAGGGGGTCAGAGTGAAGATCCAAATGCCATCTCAAGACAATTGGATATCACACCACAGAAGGGTCACAAGGAAGGGACGGGCCAGCCAGGGTGCTGTATAAACAGCACTGACAAAACACACAGCATTGCTCTAGTTCTTTAGTGCTGCCCCCCACCATCCTAACCCCAGTGCAACCTTAGAAATCTAGCTAGATCAGATCATGTACACTGTTACAGATAAGAGCTCTGAACACATGGGACCCAGCACAGATAAACCCCTCAGGAATAGTAATGGGAGTAGTGATGCCATGAGGGTACGGGTAAGGTGTGGGGAGAAAGGGGAAACTGATCACAATGTTTGACGTATAACCCCCCCTCTCCAGGTGGAACAACAACAGACAGCGGACAGTGTAAGATATGAAATCATAATTTATAATGTATCAAGGGGTCATGAGGGTGGGCGAGTGTGATAGGTAGGTTTATTGTGCCAACCTGGCCAATAAACACATGTGGGATTAATTGAAGGGCAGAGAGATAAATGGCTAAGCGAGCCTCGCCTATAGGAACGTGTGGGATTAATCAGATCACAGTTTGATTGGCCGCCAAAGAGGTAACGGCACTGCAGGCCTGCCCCTCTCTCTCTTGCTCTCTGTTGATCAGAGTGTGCTGCAGCCTGTGTGCTGCTGCTGCTTTAGCTTGTTCTTTGCCTCAACCTGTGAGCTACACGACCTGTGGGCCAGGCCAACCTGTGGATGGATTGTGTTGCTAGAGCCTGAGGCTCCTTCGAGACTTGCTTTGCCATGTTGCTGGTGCAAACATCACTTGAGCTTGAGACTGTGTGTCCTGTCACCTTGCAGTGCTTACATATGGTAGCACATCAGGGACTGCTTCCCTAAGCTCCCAAATTGCTGACTGTGGGTGAACCAGCCCGCTGTTTGTTGCCTGTGGGCAGACTCTGCTTGCCTTGCCCCAGGGAGGACTGTGCTGTTGGCTTCCTTGACCTTGGACTGTGGGATTATAAAGAGACTTCCAAGCTTTGTCTCCCCCAAAGACATGCCAAACATTAGGGGGTTTTTGCTAGCATATGGAGGGAGGTCAGATGCTTACAGACATCCTCCCTGAAGGCAATCAGTCACCAGACTAAGGAAGGCCCTGCTCCCTGCTGTTAAGGACAATGGCCTACTTCTCCCTGAAGGCTTGTGGGCCATTAGCTTGGTCCCTGTAGGTGGGCTTTACATCCTACTGATAATGGTTTCTATGGCAATCCAGAGAACAGGTCAAACTGGCTCAGTGACATCCAAAGTTAGGCTGCCATCCTGGATCTAGGATCCGCCCTTCTCGTCACATGTGTATCCCCAATCCCTCCTCTTCCTATTGCATGTATACCCCTAGATTATCCCCGTCTCATTGCTGTATAATCTATAGTGCAACCCCTTCCTGTGATGTATGTAATTAGTGGGCTTGCACTCCCCCCAAAGATATATAGGCCTTGGTTAACAATAGAGCTTCGCTCTCTCGGCTTCCTCCCTTGACCTCTCCTCTCCCATCCTCTCTCCCCATTCCCTTTCCCCTTGTCCTCCTTCCCTTCCCCCTTTCTCTGCGTGGACCAGCAAGAGGGGCAGAGGTGAGTATTGCTACCATGAAATGTGTCTGACTCCATTATTTCAATATCTCTTCTATCTCTCACGCTCTCTATGACTTTAATATAATATGTATATGTCTCAACCATACAATTGTCCTTATCGAACCCATGATTAGTGGTGGGAGGCTGACACCCCTTCCAACCACATTGGACCCCACTTCCATGTGAGCTGAAGGACTTCCCATATATTAACTGTTCCATGGAAGTGAGTTGAGCTGAACCCTCTGTACAGCTGTGTAGACTAATTAGCTGTTATAGTCCTCCTCACTGTATACACCTACCCTCTTATACATATATATAAAGTCATAAGGGTCCTGATTTCATTTCTCTAGCGAACACTGCCTAACACAGGGCGCTTACAAATCTTATGACAATCCTTCGTTCAATTGTATTAAGCACATCTCTACATCTGTTGCCATCAACATTTACAAAACATTTTCTTTCTACTTGAGCCTTTGGTATCAGCTCCTCTTTTCCCCCCTCTCTCCCCACCCTCCTATCCTGGTGAATCCTTGATCCATTATATATTATTATTGTTATTTTGTGTCTTACATTATCTGTTGTCTCCCTTCACCCACATTTCTGTTATTCGTCCCCCTCAGAAGGGCACTATATATCCAACCTTGTAATGGGTTCCCCCTTTCTACCACTTCCCCATCCCCTCTCACCCCCTACCCTCATGGTAGCACTACTCCCACTACTGTTCCTGAGGGTTTTTTCTGTCCTAAACTTCATGTCAAGCGCTTTTATCTGTACCAATGTGTGTACTCCAGTCTAGCCAGATTTGTAAGGTAATACAGGGTCATGGTAGTGGGGGGCCGTGGGGCTGCATACCGGAATGATGTGTGTTTCTTGGGTGCTATACTGCACCCTGGTTGAATCATCCCTTCCTTGAAATGCTTCTGTGGGTAGATGTCCAATTGTCTACAGATGGTCTTTGGGTCTCCACCCCAACCCCCATCTTTCACAGCTACATGACTGTTTAGGATCTTTTGATATCTGATCCTGTCGACGCCTCATGGTCACAAAGGCTGGTGCCCTTCTAACATGTGGGCTTTGTTGCTTCCCTCCAAGACGATGGCTTGTTTATCGTCAAGCCTTTAAGACCCCAGAATATACATCTTGTGATAGCAAGGCACCCTTGCTTTCTTCACCACATTTGCTTATGCACCCGCTTTGTCTTCAGGGATCCTGTTGGGAGGGTGAGCATCACAGAGTTCCAGGTTATTAGAACAGCATGTCCTTGTGTTTAGGGAATCCTTGAGTAGAGGCCCACAATCTGTCCTCTATCTTAATTCTTAATGCGTCACCATGTGTACATTGGCCTCTATCCCTTTCATGATAAATGAATATATTTACATATATACATGCCTATAGCTATAACTCTATTAACTGTTTTTGCCTCCAAGTTCTTGGTGTCCTGACTCTTTACTGACAGTGACTTATGGTTACCTGTTAACTTCCCTAATTACCTGCATCACTGTGCGTATTGGCTGTGTTCTGGGTGTCCATGCTGTGGGCGCTATGGTTGGTGTCAGAAGAGATAAAGAAGGAGGGAGGGTGGAGGCATATCATATATGGCTCAAACTACCATTTCCTGCTCCCTCCCTCCCTCCTTCCCTTTTCCTCCTAGACCTCAGGCTTTTCTAGGAGGCCAACCAGCACATGCTGCAGCCATGAGACCCCGGTGAGATGGGTCCCCCAGGTGGCCCAGGAACTGACTGAGTGCCTCCAGAAGCAGCTCCGCTGAACAGGGACCCCTTGGGCCCCAGCTCCGGCCCCTGATGCCTACAATAGACATGCCATACACTCTCTGCTCCTGTCTCATGGTCCCAGGAGACGGTATGCTCTGTGGGTGAGCCTGGAAACCCAGGAATCATATACACACCTTCTGTCAACTTCTGGCCCTGGGTGGTTTGGTCTTGGTTCAGTAGTCATTGATCAGTCAAACGCCCGTGTGAATCTTGCGAAAGGCCCAGGGTGTCGCAGACACAATGGCGTGACCTGGGTCCAGGCTAAGACATGGACGCAGCAGCACCTGACTCAACAGGCACTGTGAAACCATCGGCTTTACTCACACCCATTGTTGCCCAAGGCTGGAACCATCAGCGCCTGGTGTCTGTAGAGCCCAGGGTTTAGCTCCAGGCAGGTTGCCGTCCTTCAGAAAAGGCACCCGAAGTCTTCTCCCGAAGTCTTCTCTTCCTGACGGGCGTTCATTCGTACAGCCACCACTGCCAATCACAAGATGTCTGTGGGAAGTGCCAACACTGGGCACCCTGCCCCCAACTTCTAAGCTTCAACTGTTATGCACAATGGTCCGTTCAAAGACATCAGCCTACCTGACCACTAAGGAAAATACACTGTGTACTTCTTCACCCTCCTGACATCCCTGTTTTGTGCCCCAAAGAGATCATTGTTTTCGGTGACAGGGCAGAAGAGTTTAAGAAACTCAACTGCCAAGATTGGTGGCTTCACTGGGTTCTCACGTCTGCCATCCGGCTTGGATCAACACACCCATGAAACAAGGAGGCCAAGGACCCACGATTCCTTTAGTATCAGACCCCAAGCACACCATGGCTCAGGACTAGGGGTCTGAAAGGCAGACGAAGCGTCCTTTCCATCATTGATGATAAAAGGGATCACTGTAATTGACCTCCCTATTGACCGCTCTGTGGATGAGACTAGTTCAGGCCTTCCGATTCAGGGACAAACATCGGGGGTGGGGTGTGGGAGGGGTGCCCAGCCGGCAGGGATACTATCAAGCCTGGTGTCCAGAAGAACACAGAATATTTCTCCAAGCACAAGTGAGCGCTGGACCATTT